CCCCAGGGGGCAGGCGGCGGCGGGGCAGGCTCAGCGAGCGGCCGGCCGGTGCCTTTGCTCTCCTCGGGAGCTGCCGGGTGCTGCAACTTCGAGCCCGTCGCTGAGAAAGTCAGCGGAGCGCCCCGCGAAATGTAGGCAGGGTTGTCAGCCCCAGGCGGAGTTCAGGATGCTCCGTGCTGTTGCACCGTGTTTTGTAAAAGGTAATGAAATGTTTGGAAGGGGATGCCTCAATTACAGCGTCTGCTGAAAACTGAAAAGAAGAAAGGGATTTTTTTTTTTTTTTTTAAAGTAGAAAGGCAAGCCACCTGATGATCCACGTTTTCCAGACTCTTGTCTCCAACGTGAGCCACCTTCACAAGTGGGAAACACACACAAAACCTGGAAAAAGTAGTTTGGAGTTTCCTCCTCACAGAGTTTCCTCTTAATCCCCTTTTCTCAGTTTGTGTAGTGTCTTGAATCAAACTGGTTTGTTTTCCTCTCAAGTCTCTGTTTTGAAAGCCCTAGTACTAAGATAAGTCTAGATAGTCCTGCAAATTATTACATTTGTTGTGGTTTGATAGAGGGTGAACTGATGAGGTTCTCTTTTTGCCCTAAGCTTCACCATAAAATAGTGATGAAGAATACACCAAAGAAGTATAATATCCTACACATTTCTGAATATCTAGTGCTGTTCTGGCAGGATAGAGGATTTTGCTTTGATTTGTTTTCCCTCCTTTAAAAAAAAAACAGTGGTTAAGACTGACTCACCACATTTATTTATAATCTTGATCGATAAGATAGTTTCATAGGATACCATTTTCAATTTTTATCAAGCTTGTGCTTGATACCTTTTTGTGCTTACTTAGCACTCAAACAGTTCAAACTCAGCACAGCCAAAGCAATACTTTTTTATTCCTAGGTTTTCACCATATTTCTCCTGCTGATAAGATACCCCAAGTTGCGTGGTTGTCTAGGCCTGTAGCTTTAGTATTCTCTTCAATTCAAACAGGTTTTCAAGCATCCTTGAAAAACTCATCTAAATGATTCTCCATCTCAATGATTCTTTCTACATAAGCTCCCTAACATGGTTCCTTCTATCTCATCATCCCACGGCCTGTTTTTGCTGCAGTTCCTCTCTTCTTTTTGTACCTCCTCCATTGTCAGTCCCTCATGGCCACAGCTTCCCTCACGCCGGCTCTGGCACTCAGCTCAGCCTTCGGTAAGCTCATACAGTTCACTGAGGCGGCATGAAACCAACTCAAGGGAAAGAAAGGGTTTTGCTTTTGTTTTTGTGAGCTGGATCACTTCAACAAGAATGGGAGCACAAGAACTTGCATAAAAAAGGGAAGGAAGAGGGGAGGTCCATGGGGAAAGAGGAAGAGAGGATAGCCCATTTCAACAAGGACGAGCTCTTAATTCAACTCAGTCATCTTATTGCACCATCCCTGAGAACATACGTATAATTCAGCTGATAGGCAGTAACCCATTACACTTCAGTAACTCCATTGCACTTGAACTAGTATATGAACCCATAACTGCAGTTTGTAAGCTTTCTGGATCATGTATTTATACATCAGCTTTGGGATCTTGTTCCATGGCCACAATTCCTAGCCATTATTGTATAAAGCCAACAATAATTTTCATGAGATCACAGAATAACCATAAGCATTACAAAAGCATTCTCCAATCCCATGGGAAAATATAAGGGTGTAGCATTCGCAGCCTTCACTGCAGTTGCAAACAGTACAGCCTGCAAAGAGGTACAATTTCAATTCTTTCTGCAGTGGCAAACCTAGCAAGAGATAAAATTGTCCTTAGGACTATGTGAAGATGTTTGTTTTAGGAAGTTACTCCAGCAGACTACAGCTGCTACAACGCCCAACTTCCCTGCTTACTTTTGGCTCTGAATACCTAAATAACAGCTTAGCTGAGCAAAGAGAGTATTTGTAGTCTGCAGTGGGTATGAGCATCCAGTGCCAAGTGATGAATGGGAAATCAATATTACTCCCTTCACTTGACAGGTTGATTACAGAAGATGCAATGATGGTACCCAAGTTCACAATAGAATATAGATGTGTAAGACTCATTATGCAAACTTTCTGCTTTTAAAGTTTCACCTTAGTGAATTTAAAATATACGGGATACTTCAAGCACAAAGCAATCAATTGGTGTTGCAGAACGATCTGTTTACAGCTACAGCTGCAAAAGAACATCCTTCCCATTTTGCTAGATTAAGGGCATAGGCTGACATTCTACTTTTGATTTATCTGTGTTAGTGAAAGACATTAAGTCAGGACTAGTGAGGCACAGGCCCTTCATCTTAACAGTTCCTGCGTTCCCAACTGACAACCTCCTTTCCACATGGGCTGACTCTGCCGCAGTGGTGAGCGCTCGCACGGTACTCTCAGCTGCTGTTCTTGGAGGGGCACGACCTCTTGACAGAGGGATGGTAATCATCAGCGGAGAGGAAGAGAAGTACCTTAACTCAGGCTGGCATGGTCTCCTGAGCTGTATCAGTTTCAGAAGAGAAGGTAAAAGAGCTACAAAGGCATCATCTTTTTAACGTGACACTTTAGTTGTGATGGGTTTGGGGCTTTACATGTATTTGCTAGTCCAGGGAGCTGCTGACACCCAATGAGATGCCTCAGCCTGGTCTATTCCAGGCCACGAAGAGAGGGAAGAACTCAGCTGAAGGGTGGCGTGAGTTGATGGCTCTGCTTTTCCTTCAGTATTTCACATTTCCAGCCAGGTTTTCCATTCGATGCTATGCCACAAGGGCAATAAATCAACACACTTGTCTTCTTTCCCCTTTTCCCTAACACTGCTGCCATTTTTGGGCAACATCTGCTCTTCATTCCCAGCCCAACATTAATAAAGCAATAAGCAAAACAGGATGTGCATTAGGACGCTAATGGGCTTTAGGTCCTGCTGGAGCGTGAGCATCGGGAAGCATAAAGCGAAAGGACAAGTAACTTCACTCCTCAGGGCCCCTCACCAAGCTAGCTAGTGTCCTAATGAACTCCCGAGGGCAGCTCGTTATTTTTATTTGGGATGTCAGAGAGAGCACTTATAACAGCAGATCCTAAACTAAAGAGCTCATTTAGTACAAGCAATGAGCTTAACCACACTCAGATACTGTTCAGATAAATCCACCTTAACGTTTGTCAGTCTCCAGAGAAGAGCTAGCTACAATTACATGAATGAAATAAAGAAACCATGAATGCGAGGAAGGTGCAAAGCAATAAGGGAAAGGAAGAAAAGAGAAAGATAGTCTCAGAAACAGTGCTTAAGCTTAGGGGTGACAGCTGTCAGCATTACAACTGCGCATCAGAGAAGAAAGGGCTACCTTTTCTCACTGAGGTCATTCTCCTACATTATAGTCCGCCCTGTGCCATGCCCTCCCATCCAGGGAGCAGCCCCATGATCCACAGCAGGGCCAGGGTAGTGAGAGCGATGGGTTCAGTTGGCCGTCCAGTGATCGTCGGGCACGGAGGGGTGGTGAGCCGGGCTTGCATCAGTGCGGGGGGCCTGGTCTGAAGCAGCAGGTGATAAGGCTACCTGCAAAGGGTAGCGCAGGGCTGGATCTCGCACCATGCCTATAGATGTGGGCTCCCCTTCGAGTGCCTAGTAGCAGGATAAAGCCCATGCCACCTGTATTAGTCATAGTGGTGGTTCTACAGGGTTTACTGTTTTATTTTAGAAGATGCCAAGTCTCAGGAGGTAAGTTATAGTGAATCTACTTGAGATAATTTTAACAGTTGTGTTCAAAATTAGACTTTCCTTCTCAAGCAAAAGCCCAATGTTTAAGTGTGTCTGAAAAGGCTAGTCAAGCATCTTAAAAATGGGACTGACTCTCAATTATTTATATCTATCTCCTATGCAAGTACACACAGAAAACCTCTTATTTTGAAAAATAAAGTGTAAAAAGTCTCAGTTGGTTTTGTACATAAGGAGTATAAAGAATAAAATAAAACTTTTAAAACACTAGAAGAGAAAGCATAGAAGAAACAAGGAGAAACTAAAGCATGGTTTCTCTTTCTACATACCATTAACCTCTGGAGATCACATTGATAAATGGTAAGTGACAAACTAGGAGGCAGGGGCTCTAATTCCCAATCCTGCAACACGCCAGACTGTGGTAGGAATTTGGGTAGTGAGGCAGAGGGAAGGGGGAGGATGCAGGAAGCTTTCTGAGTCAGCACAGGGCCTCTATATGGGCAGTCACTCAGGTCTGAGGAGAGCCGTGAGGGCTCTTCCTCTGTCCCTGCCCTGAGGAGGGGATCAGGCCCTTTCCTCCACTCTGGAGCCGGGCTGGAGCCCCTCACTCAGGCACCGTAGGGTGCCGAGGCCCTGGGCAGCTTTGAGCCACAGCTCATCCTGCAGCACGATGCTGTATGTGCTGCAATCTAGCCCCGAGCAAGGAATATCTAAAGGTAGATGATCCACCAGCTAATCATCAAAGAGATCTTTTTTCCAAGTTATTTACAAGTAAGATATACCAGATGATTAAACACCAGGATACTTGGTTAGGAATGTATACAGGGCTGTGGTAGCCTAGCAGCAATAAGATCAGATATGGTATATGCCTTGAATGCAAAGGCACATTTAGTACCTATAATTGTTTCCTAAGATCTATACCCCTGGTTTTAAGCCTTTTTTTTCCTACTGCCACAGTAATATCAGGCATTAAGGAGACAAGAGATACTCACACAGTCTACATGGGAGAGGAAGTAGGGAGTTACACCGTGCCTTTCTATGCCATTTCATTCTTTATGTTCACATTTTTTCCCCAAAAGTCTCTGTTCCTCCGCAACATCCTGCTTTTAAAATGATATAAGCATTCATCTGAAACTGTGGAAGCATTGTTTGAACCCAGGATCAAAGCCATGAACAAAGACTAAACCAGATTTCCCTCTCACTCTCATTCACAGAGATCTTGTTTCTCAGCATCTGCCACTTTATTTCAATGTCACCTTTCAGCGGCCTTTTGGCAAGAATTCTGTATTCATGTATAAGCTAATGCATTTATATTTGGTTAATGTATGCATTATGACCTTAACCATCCTTAAACATTATTCTCCTCTCTACACTTATATGCCTTTAAGTGTGCTAGTTTTAAATGTTAAGTGACAAAGTCAAAATACTTTGAAATAACAGTTTGAATCTGTTTGAATTCTTTGCCCATATCCAAACTCAGAATTCTGTATTAAAATAGAACATTTGCTCATTGTTTTTTCCCCCACCTGATCATTAGTTTCTCTCAGGGGAAACACACTGGCAAAATCACAAAATATCAGTGCCACAATAGAAGAAACATGGAAGAATGCCACCGAGTAAAAATATCCTCTCCAAAAGTCAGTACACAGGAACATCAAGATGTCTGGGAACTCCTGGGTCATCATCCCCCGACCCCAGTTATCACAACATAACAGGCTTTTAGTCTTCTGTGGGCCACAGTGTGGCCTGACCACAAACATCACTAACTGCAAAACGTAGGGGGTTTAGTACAAAACACAAAAAAACCCACAAAATCTGTAATGCACCATTAAACAGAGAGCAAGAAAAAAATCAATTTCATTGCCAGCTTCTAAGTAAATCTGCTGTGTGTCTAGAGGTAGACACATCAAATACAATTTTCTGGACCATGCCAGTGTCTGATTTGGTGCTCCAAGGTGTCACCCCAGCCAGTCACCTCAGATGGGAGTCAGCAGTGTGCCACCTGGAATCAGCACTTGTGCC